ATATATATATAGGTTATGGTGGTGTTCAGGCACACATGTATAAAGCAAACACAAGAGTGTGTTAATTAACCTTTGCTGTACTAGATTGGGCCATCACCACAGTCACCACACAAGTGCAGAAATTGTGATTTGTTAAAGAAGGAAAACAAGCGAATCCGTAACTGTTGGGAAACATCAAAACAAAAGCTGGCAGGTGTGAGAAAAGAATTGGATATTCTTAGGGTGCAACAGGTAAACATTTTATTACATAAGGTGTTGTTGCAATATACATCCTTATAGTTGTGTCACAAGGAAACAAGAATAACGTAAAGCATATATAATGTACTGTAAATGGCATAGAGTGTCGGTGATACAATAATGCCTTTTGTAAGTATACCACACTTATATGTTTCTGTAATAATTTACAATAGGTGTAAGTAGTGATGATGATGAGGAAGTTGAGAGCAATGATGAGGAAGATCACAAATCTGAAGATGAGACAGAGGGGCCTTCTGATGATATGTATGAAGATGCAGAAATTGAGACAGAGACAGATACAGCAGATACTGATACTGATGAAGACATTAATGTGCCTTCACATAGGTAAGAAAATGCAGGTCAACTGTTCTCTAATTTTTGCAAATCATTATTTGACAGGAAATCTGCACTCATGTGTAAATTAACAAGTCTTGTTGTAATCCGAACTTTTTTACTGCCACCATTTTAGTTTTGACAATCTGGCCCCAATACATACACACTTTTCTCCAAACTAATTTACACTAGTTCCAAGAGTTTCCTTAGTTTGCTTATTATTTGCTGTGCCAGATTGAACCATTCATTTTCATTAACAACATTTTGTGATGGGCCTCCTTGCTTTGTATTTATTATTGACCCAATGACTCATTTTAGTAATAGTTGCTTGTCCATCAGCAGTAATGTTAATTAATCAACTTTTTTAGGGTTCCTGTGAAGGAATACGGTTTACAAAGGGAGCCAAAGTTCATTGTATTCCTTACCCAATTATTGACGCTCTTTCAAATCTGCCGTGTGTGCAAAAGTGACAAGACATTGGTTGAGGTTAACTCTCATGGGACAATGGCTGAGGTTAAAACAACATGTGTCAACCCTGATTGTGGAAAACAAACAACATGGCTAAGTCAACCTTATTTTCCTGGGACAAGAATTGCAGCTGGCAATTTGTTGCTTAGTTTTGGAATCCTTGTCGCAGGAACATCAGCAACTAAAGTTTTTAGGGTGCTGAAGCACATGGGCATGACCTGTTTTTCTGTAACAACTTTCTTCAAACATCAACGTGTAAGTATTTAAAGTATGTTGCAATGTTATAAAACATAGAACATGCATGCATATTGTACTGCCAGGTTTAGTTTGTATGTTACATAATACAGTATATGTCTTATATTTTGTAGGAAATATTGTTTCCATCAATATATCTTCACTGGAAAAAGTACCAGGCTGCATTGGTGGATAAAGTAAAAGGATATGGGGAAATAGTAATCGCTGGTGATGGCCGACATGACAGTATGGGTCACAGTGCAAAGTACTGTGCATACACTGTATTCTGCTGCACTGTACCTTTTATAATCCATTTTGCGATTGTACAGGTATGTTTTTACACCTCCACTTTTAATCAACTAGGGATAACATTAGATTGTGTCTACCTTTATGACCTGTGTATTTTTATTCTCCTAGAGAAATGAAGTTGGCAGTAGTCCAGCAATGGAATATGCTGGGTTTTGTCGTTGCATGGAATATATACTTGGTTTAAGTCTTGTGGTGAAGACATTCATATCTGATAGACACTCAACAATAGCCAAGCATATGAGAGAGAAGTTGTCAAACATCACTCATTACTTTGACATTTGGCATCTTAAGAAAAGTATGATGTTTATATTGACTACAATCTGCTGTACACATTTTTTGCTATCACAAACTGTGAGAACCTAAGACAACCAAGTGAGTCACTCACTAAACCCTTTTAAAGTGATTTTTTTTGTGTTTCTTTATTTATCAGAGGTCACAAAAGTACTCACAAAAGTTGCAAAAGTGAGTGGGTGTGAAGCAGTTGCTGAATGGATAAAGCCTTGTACTAACCATTTATACTGGAGTGCAAGAACTACACATGATGGGAATGGTGAAGTTATTTGGGCTAAGTTCTCATCATTTTTAAGTCATGTGGTTAATGAGCACAAAAATCTTGAGAATCCGTTGTTCAACAAATGTGGGCATAAAGAGACAATTGAGCCACGGAAATGGTTAGATAAAGGTTTGTTGAAGTGCATGCAATACTATTTTTATCATCATAATATGGTGATATGCATGTGTGTCAATATTATGGTAGTATTTATGTACAATCTGTTTATGTTGTGACATATTCTTAGATTCAGTTGCCTATGAGAAAATGCAGTCATCTCTTACTAACAAAAGGCTGATAAAAGGAATAAAGCATGCATCTCCAATGGACCAAACAAGTTGCCTAGAAGGATTCCATTCTGTGCTGAACCAATTCTCTCCCAAGATGATAGGCTATACCTACAGAGGAATGTTTTGCAGGTAATTACTGTATGCATTCAAAAGATAGTGTAATGATGTACAGTTTAAATGCTTACTTTTTGTTCTAGCAATTTATTGATATCACCAAAATAAGAGTTTGAAACAAGATGTGACATTTACCTAAATGATGGGAAAATAAATTTCCAGGAGGCCACCCTTTGCCACATGAGTGCTAAAAGTATCACTTATAAAGCAGTGTCATTTTTTGCAGACATGCATTAGCAGTCATGCACTTTAATCAGAATCTGTCTCGGGAAGCAAGATTGAAAAATGGTGTTGAACAATACAATGTTGTTTATCCCAAGTTCATGAATGGGGAAGCAGTTGTCAGAAAAGTTCCAGTAAAGCAAAACTTTGGTAGGTTGATTGGATAATTACAAACCAAGGATTCATGTAGAAGGCACTTTAATATATATATATATATATATTATAGATTATGTGGATAAAATATATCAAACCATGTTAGAGGCTATTGCGAATAAAAAACTGGAAGATGCAATAGATGACCTAAACGAAAAAACACCACCACCCATGAATACCATGCTAAGTAAGCAGTCAAGAGAAGAAGCAATACAAAAAAAGAAAACAAGGGATGCAATGCAACTTTCTGATGTTCCTCCAACAAACCCAGGTATTTTAGAAGTTGTTGATGCATTTACACTTAAGATCAGATAACAATATAGGTACAATGATGGTTTACCATGCATTCTAAATTTTATCCCACTCCTCTTTTTAGTTCCCACTGTTGAAGTTGGAACCCAAAGTCATGCTTTAAAACAAAGAAATGCACCAAAATGTAGGCTGTGCAAGCAGCCAATGAAAGGTCACAAAAATGTTGTTGACTGTCCAAAAAATAAAAAAGATTAACAATATTTTTATTTGCATTTGTTCATACATTTTTACACAATTTACATTTGAACCAAAGCAATATTATTCGCTTTCTTCATCTGTCTCCAGTTCTTCATAGCCAGTGAATGCACCATCCATGGGTTTATGTGTTAAACGTATAGCATTGTATGCACAAGAAGGCAATGGAATTCTTTTGTCCCTTAATCGGCCATGCACCATGCGAGTAAATTGTCGATAGGCAACAACTCTCAGAAATCTAAGGGATTACAAACCAAATTCGATCATTCCTTTTATTTGAGCCTGATGAACAGTAATGCATTGTGCAATAGCAAATGGCAGTCACAACAGGGCAACTAAGAGTAAGCCTGTCAGAATTTAACAATCTATGTAATAATACAGTTTTACTGCAATTATCATAAACCAGCTTTTTCAATTCTTCCCAGGGGCATCCAAGTTTATGCAACTACCCCAGGGTGTGTTTGGTATAACTCAATTCTTTCAGTTTCAGATGCCCCTTCACAGGCTGCATTAAGATGATAATAATATTATAAACACGACAATGATGACAAAGGCCACGTTGTGTCTGTTATTATTGAATAAACATACCTTTGTTTTGAGCCACTTTGCTTATATCTATGACCCTGACGGGTTTTGAAATTGTCAGCAGCAAGCTCCAACGACCATCTGTTTAAGCAAACAGCTGGAAAACCAGGATGATTAACTATACAAGTCAATTTCTGTTCCTCACTTGACTCCTCAGAAAAGTCATCAATAAATTTTGCGCAACCCTCGATTTCGTGGCAACAACGACACTCTTTAGCATTTTGCAGCATTTCAATGCTACAGTTACCACAACTGCACCTAACGAAAAAATATACAACTTCAGTTGAACAAAGACAAAGCAAATTTTAATACAATTTTTATACCACGTGCTACTGGAATATTGCGATAAATCACAATGACATAATACGCAAATTACCAGGAAGTTAAAGTTTTTCTTCCATTCCAGCGGAGTTCTAGTTCTGCCATTGTTTGGTTATTTTCTTCCCGCGCTCTGTTATAATTTTCTAGCCAAACATTATCCGCGATAGGTTCGTCAAAGTAGGCCTCGGGGTCTGTGTTGTCATCCATTTGGCTGTCCTCCGGAATATCAGGATCGAATTCTGCGTCGCATTTCTCGCTTTCTTTACGCTCGTCTTCCATTTCATATGGCATAATGGTAGCAGTATTGCTATTCACACTCGAAAATGAACTAGAGCTCGACATTTCAAGAACTTTTATTTAAAAATGGCCAGATATTTCCAATTTGTTTACTAGAACTGTATTATGTTTCATAGTAAAGTAAATGGACGTGTTCCTGGTTCCCAGTCCCCCATTGCGCGCTACTTTTTTTTAAAAAAATTGACTTTGCCGCCCAATATCTCCGAAATTAAAATTTTAACGCAAAAACTAATCTAGAAGTTACTAACCAACTTTTTATGCTCTATCTGAATCACCAAAAACCCATTTTGGGTTTATAAGCACTTTAAGAGAAGCCAACAAAGAATTGTTTGATATCACCAGAAGAGATGAGCCATCTGTGTTGAGAGATAGAAGCTTCGAAGGGTTGTCCAAGGAGACTTGGATGGTTGAAATTGTAAATGAACTCTCAACTAGATGTCCCACTGTTGCTGAAATCCTATCAAGCTTGCTAAATTGCTCCATGTTGAACCTTGGAAAAAAGCTATCCCTTATTTGCTTGGTTTATGGTATTATCATGTTTATGAGATGTCATGAACTGAGCAGAGTACAAAGGATTAATACTGTTCTCCTGACTGAAGGAAAAGCATCAAGTAATGTAAGTAATAGATTATTTGGTATCAAGTATTTATTGTAAGGATCTTTCATGATTTGAGGAAAAAATGACTGTCAATAGATGTCTGTCAATACATAGATGGGACTTTCTTATTGCGACCTCACCTACATGCCAGACATAATTAATAATTTGCTTAAAAACTTTGATGCAATTTGTCAAGTAACACATAATGATAATTAACAAACAGTATTTACTTCAAGTCATGAATAAGGAACTTCCATACTATGGAGCAAGGGATAGAAAGGGCAGATTGGGGCCAGAATTTAATGCAGCAAAATATGTTTTTATAGAAAACATAATTCATATTGAAATACTTGTTTGACTTTTTTTCAAGTTCTGTCAGTATACTATGTAAATCTGATTGCAAGTATGATTAAACGTTTTTACTGGTAGCTAAGCTGGTCAATTGAAAATTAATACTCTAGACACAGCTGCATTAAAAATTGTCCTTCCTACAATTTTTTTTGTGTATGGTCTTATGTTTTGACTTACTTTGACCTTTGAGCTAGGTAAAAGATACCATTATTTAGCTCAATCAGCTGTATACTTCTACTAGAACTTACACAATAACTAATTAAAACAACACTAATTAATTTTTTTTATAGTTGTTTGAGCAACTTAACAAGTATGGTTTCTGTCTAAGCATTTCTAAAAAGTATGTAGTCCTCGATGACATTGGGAAGCACTTTTTGGATCATGCTGTAGAATTGCTAAAGTCTGGAAGGAAGTTTGTCTTTGTTGTTGACAACATAGATTGGGAGGAGAAGGTGCATGATATGCGAGAGGTTCATCAAAATAAGAGTGTGCATGCAGTTGCAACCAGCATGGTGTTCACCAGAGTTTCAAGCGACCACCTTCCTGATGACGGCCCTCAGAAAGATATAAGGACTTGCGACTTTCGTGAACTTGTTAGAATAAAGGAGGAAGAATTGAGGACGATTCAAAATCGATACAGGATACTAATAGCAAGAACCCTAATCACAAAGTTTCAAGAGTTTTCAAGCCTTAAATCTTGTCTGTCTGAGGAACTTCTCCTTCATCATGAGAATTCTGCAACAGCATCACGGAAATCAGAAATTGTCACAATGCCAGTATTAATGAAGGATGAAAAAAAATACAGTGATTGTGTCGATGTGTTAGATCAGTTGGAAGAATGGACCCAAGAAATATACAAGGCAAGTGGTATGTGCAAAGATCCGCCTGACCAGCCTTCTGTTTCCCCACCCTTGGTGGAAGTTCCAACTCGGCCAGATCAACCTAGATCCCACATCCCACCAGCATCATCAAACTTTGACCCACTTCAAGAAGTAAAGATTCCTTGTTTTGGTGATGAATTGACAAGAGTCAGGTTCGCTGGTGCACGTGATCTACGTTCCGGTTGTCATACTGCAAAGCAGCGTCTTGACCATCTGTATCCATATCGTATTGTAGGATGGCATACGAAGAGGAGTTTTTTAAAGGTAAGCTTAATTTAGCTAATTTTTCATCTGTTAGGATATCCTGATGTCAACAATTAATATTTTGTGGGTTGTTTCATTGTGTTTTAAACTACTGTATCAATTTTCTCAATGTGAGTTGACTTTCCAACTAGGTACAAGGCTGTATGATTTGTTATGGGACTGTGGATCAATAACAACATAGCATATCACTCAGTGTTGTATATTTCTGTAAAGTTAACCACTAAGTTGCAATTTTTTATAGTCAGTCTTTAAACGGCTCTACAAAAATTCTGGAAGAGAAAATGGTACGTTGCGATACTTCCGAGAAGTGCTCAATCGAAGAAATGTGACAGTTGATGTCAAGCATTATGAAGACTGTGAACAACTCTTCATGAGTGTTGGTCACTGTTATTTGGTAGAAGCTTTGCTCGAGTTCTTCAAAATGGAAGATGTCAACACGTCTCCTGAAGAAAATAATCATTTTCTCATTGATGATTTAAATAATGAAGAAAAGAAGACCCAAGTACTAGAAGTATTGGACAAGTTTGTCGCACAGTACATTTATCCAACATTGGATGAAAACAGCATGGAATCCTCAGATGATGACAGCACTGATGGTGTCTTCAACTATGCTATCAACATATTGAAGTCTTTCATGATTCTTCTGGATTGCAAGAATGCTGTGGCATCTGGAAATGGGGAGCATTTAGCACTAATCCAGAAACAGATGTTGTATTACTTTTCATCTATTTCTGGATTCAATGCATATGCTATCGAGATGCTTATTGCTATAGTGCAGAATGAAGTCCTTCTTTCACCCAGAGAGGCACATCAGTGCAAGTGGGCAGCATTGGCTAATTGGAATGGAGGAAATGACAAAAACATTGAGATTGACCTACTGCAAGAAAACCGAAATGCTGATCTTAAAGGTTTTATTCGTCTGATGGGTGCTAATAAGACAGAAAAGGCAATTGGAAGAATGAGCAAGGCAGTTGGTGGAGTTCGCAAGGTTGTTGATGCGTTTAATGAACAGGCAGCAATCAAACGCAAGTCATCAGCCCATTCCCATAGGTCCTCTTCACAAGATGAGGATAAAGTTTCCAGTGATCTACACAAATTAAAGCCCTTCTCCCCAGTTATTGGCCGATCCACAATTCATTTGCGGGGATTTCTTCTGACCCTTTAGAAGATTTAAATGAAAACGTGTTCTCTGAATGGCTCAAACGACACCAGAAGAATATTTCATTGCATTTCCCAGCAGTTGATAATACACCTGCAGTTGAACCACTAGAGGACAGTGATGAACAAAGTAACTAGAAACTTAGTGTGCTCCTTAGTATTAAATTTTCAACAGAGCACTAATTGACACTTGAACAGCACAAAACTGCTATTGCACTAATGTCACAATCTGGCATTGTTGATCATTTAATGACTGCTTACTGCAAATAGATCTTACCATTTTAGGCTTATTGCATTTTCCCAATGGTTGTTTCCATGTTTGACTGTTTAGAGTGTCAGGCACACTAAAATCTAAGCCATGTTGCACCATATATATAATATTTGCATGTTTTATTCTCTTGCCATTGGGGTGTTGGGTTGTTATTTGCATATTGTGAACTGAGTTCAACCGGGGACCAAACAACTGTTTAATGTTATTGAAAAAGCAAATACAGTACTATGAATGGTGAAATTCAGTCTATAACATTACTCCAGTATAGTGTACGTATTTACAATATAAATTATTGAAACCCATAAACAGACAAATCTCGTCTTGTTTTGACCCAAATGTTGTGTTTAAAGATGCTAATATTTTGATGTTTCATATTATATGAATTACTTTAAAAAGTTTAAAACTATAAACAATGTGAAGCAATGTAGTTATCATCAATAAAGACTTTCTAGTCTGCCTTCCACCCAAAGTAAGTATCCCAATTTTAGTTTTACTACATTATTTGCCTCAAGGCGCATGGTATTCTTTCTTGAATATACAGCATACAAAATTAGATTACTAAAATCATTATCCAAGTCATGTTCCAAAGTTCTGCAGTGTGGTAAGTGCCACAAATGTGGAAAGTTAAATGCAACTTGTACCATCGCATTTTGATTGACAAACACTACAGCAAAGATATTTGGGATAAACTGGCTTTATATACTTTTGGTCAGTATCTAGTGAACTGAGCAATATATTTCTAAGACACTGCGACTCACTATGGCAAAAAGTCCTAATTTCTTCTTGCATTCCTGTTTTGTTTTTGGCAATGTCACGATTGTTGTAGTGGAGAATCGCAGTTGCAGGTAGTCCATCTCTTCCCCCTGCCAGTTTCTTGGAAGTAAGCCTGGATAGTATATGGTGGGGTGACATGAACAACACACCTAATGCCCTTAATATCAACCCCCATTCCCAGAGCCACTGTAGCAAATACCCCTTATGGTACTTTCTGAAGAGCACAGCTGCTTTAACACTTCATCTTTCATTTCCTGTGTTTGAGGTGAATGGAACTGAGCAAACAGCCTGTTCTCAGGTATTGATGCTGATCCTGTTGGGAAGTACTGGCTGTTTCCCAAAACTGATTCAAATATCTTATACGCAAATCCGCACCATTTCAAAGGAAGGTATATAATTGTTAAGGGATAATTTGTCAGTTTCTTTAACAAATCTTCAGCAATGGGAGTAAGGATTTTTACTAGGGAGTCCACATCTGGTCCACCTCGAAAATGTTTTTCATATTTTATATTTCTTCGGTCAGGATTGCCAACTACTTCTGCACACAATTTCAAACCCAATGAATTTTTGATTAATTCTCTATCAGTTTTATTTGCTGTGGCAGTCATGGCTACAACTGGAGCACTTGAAAATGTTGCACACAAAACAGCCAAATTGCCATAGTCCACTCTGAAATCCTTACCCCTGAAATGACACAATATAATTCTATTAAACTTTGCTACTGCACCAGTAGCAGTCTGTAGCACAATACCATTGGTTCTGAATATTATAAAATATTAAAAAAAGTGAATATCGTTAAACTTACCACTCCAAGATGCAATGGGCTTCGTCTACAACAATCGCACAGACATTTTCCTGGTAAGGTTCACTCTGCATTAACTTCCTTCCATAAGCACATGACACAAACGTTTCAGGGTGTGCGAACACAATGTTATAGTGTCCAATTTCAAGCTTGGCTTTGTCGCTCAGACGTAAGTCGCAGGCAAGTATTTCTTTGTCCTCTTCCTCAACTTCTATTGACGATCTTACGTCGACAACAGTTGCCCGAATTCCGCTAGAGGCCAACCGCAAGATCTGGTTAGCAATCAGCGCATTTAATGGTGATACAACCACAATAATTGATGTTATGTTTATTTCGCTTTTCGAAACACCATGCTTCTTCGCATAAAGCAAGGCAGGAAGCAAGTAAAAAATCAAAGATTTACCATATCCTGTAGGTAGAACCACCAGAATATCCAAATTCAAAAATGCCTTTTCTAGGCAAATCACCTGTTTTGGTTTTAAAATAACGTCACAATATAAGCTATTTAATATTGCGAACTCCAAGCACGAAAGAAATTGCCCACACTTCGAATTTTTCAACATGCCGGCAACAAAGTAGCCTGCGACCAGGCTGAAAAATTTACCTTCCCCCCAAAGGGGAAAAATTTACATGCCACCACGTGACCAGCCGATACCAGGGTCTTCGCCGCAGCGTGGGCCGTGGAGCGTAGGTAAAAAGACCCTGGGTACGAGGTTGCTTAGTCGTGTGTTCAATTGCACGCCATGGTGTGTAAATTGAGCACACCTTACTAAGCAGATTTTGAATACACACCTTCGTGTGTACGAAAACACACCTTCGCGTGTTAGCGAACACACTAACCTTTTGCACACCTTTCCTTTTGCGCATTAAGGTGTGTAAAGAAGCACACTTTTTTAGTAAAACACACCTTGGTGAGTTCGACTGCACACCTTAACCCATCCAAGGAACACACCTTAGGTGTGTTAAACAAAACACACTTATTAACTGGATAAACTTAAAGTTGTTAACTGGATATAAACAGTATATTTGACAGCCTTTTTTATTGCTAATATCTTCATTGATAATAGTATCAAATGAATGCAAAATTATAGAATACTAAATAGTGCCTAATAACATAGCCTAATTTTGTATTTTTAAAGAAAGTATCTTCAAGAGCACCTGATTCCTTTTCAACAAGAAAAAGCAACATTTCTTCGAAATTATGTTCAATGCACAATGCCAATGTAGAAGGCAAGACCTTGTAGCTCATTAGGTGGGAAATAAATTCGATAATTTCAAGGAGAATTAAGACAAAAATATTTATGATTTTGCCATATCAAAATTTCTTCCAACTTTCCATAAGATGGGTAATCCCTTTCGCCATATTCATCCATGTCAGCGATGCTCAGTACACAGCGCTAGCCAATCCGATACTGTATGCAATGTACTTCAACATGTCTAACACTAAAAATAATTATCCTAAGGTAATCCTATAATATTCTTTAATGCATATTTTTAGGTGATGTTTGTTGGTGGTAAGAATAATTTTGCCTCATGCAGATGAGCAGGCCCTTATCAGTACCCCAAAAAATAAGGACAAGAGTGATCAGCAAGAAAACACACCAACAAAACAATCAGAAGTTATTATCAACACCCCGGAAAGTTTGAAACGAAAGTATAGAAACTCCCCATCGCCTAATTCTTTACCTTTTCCTGCAACTTTTCTGTGGCTGGTCAGCACGCGGTACAGAATGGATCAATTATACCTGTACGTCGGCAACTTGTGAATGATATTGGTTTATTTTATTTGGGTATTACAAGCACTCCTCGGCAACGAGACTACAAACGAATGGCACTTCTCCTTTCTCAGAAGTTCCCTGAAATAAGAGATACAACGGTCAGCACGCGGTACAGAATGGATCAATTATACCTGTACGTCGGCAACTTGTGAATGATATTGGTTTATTTTATTTGGGTATTACAAGCACTCCTCAGCAACGAGACTACAAACGAATGGCACTTCTCCTTTCTCAGAAGTTCCCTGAAATAAGAGATACAACTCCCTCAAATTATTGGGTAAGTCATGTCATACAATCATACATCATATCGTTCCCTGATTTCATGGATTATACACTAGAAATACATGCATGCAGCAACCCCTCGCTATTTCAAACCAAGTACACAATTGCCTGAGTTAACCTGACCTAAACTTATATTATGAAATGACGCAAAACTCAAATCAGTCTTATTATATATAGCTAATGTTTCCATCATTCAATACAAAATAATCATAAAGCCAGTGTAAACATTGCCCGTTCAATTTTGCTGCATTATACCATGTCAGCAATTAAGTAACGGTTTAAAACCGAAGCTTCAAACGATTAAAACAGTACAAAATCTTCACAGACAAAGAAAAAACTTCAAATGTCATTTTATTCTGAAATAGCAGTCGACGCCGGCGGCTAAAAGTTTTATACTTTATAAATATAGTGTGTATTTTTGATACCAAAATTCAAATCACACTTTAAAAAACACTTTTTGAAGTTAAAACAAAGGTGTAATAGCCTTTCACAGGTTTATGCGTTTGCATAAAAAGCTGAAAATTTAACAAATAAACGGCATACAAAGCTGAAAAGTATACAAATACGGCTCATTCTTATCGCGAAACAAATACGAAATAATCAAAGTAAACACGTACCCTTTGTCTTTGAAAACATTTATAAGTTTGCAGATTATGAATTATTCCTCTTACACGGCTTTGTCTTGACCGTATCTACGTTCATGTTTGCTAACTGTCATGCTTCATATATCTTGTTTCTACTTTCTTTGCACAAAGTTTATGAAACACTTTTACAAAAATGTTTACGAAATGACAGTTCTCAGTTAATATAAATTGCTGACGTTCTCATTGAAATACAAACTTTCTGTCTTAGCCAATCAGAACGTTCGTTGATTACCAGACGTTACTCGCGCATGCGCATGACTTACAAAACCAGCCAACGTCGACCGTCCATGACAAAGAATTTGGACAACTTTGGATTCGCCTATGTTCTACCGGGTTCAGGGTGTAATTCCTAATCTCCGAGCGGAATTAGTACCCTCGCAGGCGCTCCGCGCCCGCTCGGTGATTAATTTTACAGGTTTCTTGCTTTTTACAAACATGAGAAAACTGTTTATAGTTACCAGATCAGATTACGACTATAAAAAACAGTTATATACCAGCTAGTAGATTACGACTATACCCGTCAAGTAGCTATAGAAATGCATTCTTTTGATTCCTTTTACTTGAGTATTCCATGTTGTCCAATAACATTCTAGATATTTTATGTACTCTGTTACTGTTCACTGTTTTTATTGTGTGATGTTACCCACAAAATACTGAAGCAGTAATATACCATTGACAATAGCTTTTTTACAATTAATGCTCTTTTTTTAACAGGCTAAACTGTTCTACATGTTCTGATAAATAATTTTGTTTTTACAGCTATCTCTGCAAAAGCAGCTTACCCAATTTTTTAGGAATGCTATAAAAAGTGTACAAAAAAGTGTTTCTTGTGGAAATTCCAATACCAGCCATACTAATTCAGCCAAAAGGTTCAAGTTACTAAACGATGACCCAGATGCTCAGAAGAGGAATCGAAAAGCTTTTAAAGTACAGCAAACCGGGTTTCATATCAAGCGCAACCCACAAAAGCTTTGTGGAAAACACATTTATGGCTCGGCGAGATTTTATTAGAGAAACAGCCGATTATCTTACGAAGTGTTAGCTATGTTCCCATATCTTGGGAAACAAGAACATGTGAGTGATATTATTGCATGTGACTTTTAATTTTAGAACCAATTTTTAGAAATAAGGACCTCTAGGAATTAGAAAATTATGTCCAGTTATGATATTCAGTTATGTACCTGTAGTTATTCAGATATTCAGTTATGTACAGGTATATTCAGTTATTAGATATTCAGTTATGTACAGGTATATTCAGTTATGTACCTGTAGTTCAAGTAAGTGGAAGCACCGCAAGATGGCGGATGCAAAATTTTGAGCTCCTCAAATTTTTTGAAATTTTTCACTATTTTACCAAGATATTTTTAATTTAATTGCTAAATTTTTAATACTTGGTTTCTTGAGTTCGTTTTGCCATAATTTCCGAAAAGAACTGTCTTAGACCACACACACAATCGCCATGGCCGACGATCGTTTACAGGACAGCCTTGAGCAGTCTAAGTCAAGTCACAATCGAGCCGATATGAATTGGGATTTTCTTAAAATGCACGAGTATGTGGTGTCCAGAAGCATAGCATATGATGGTTCGCGTCTTAAATGGTGTGAGAACTATGAATCTCTTCAAGATTTCATTAAAGTGTCATTTGGATACGAGGGTAAATGGCGTTCAGCTGGGGGTAGTTCGAAGAGATTTGAGGCCAAGGATTCTGACTTTGTCGCTACGTGGTATCCTGGGAAGTTAAATACTCTATCATTTAATGGTATGATTGGAAAGGAAGCTAAAGAATGCCTGATCACCCTGTTTACACCCCCCCCTGGAAACCCCTGTCAGAATACCTTGAAAGAAAATCCCAGTCAAACTGTTTTGGAAGAATCTATTGAAAATTTGTTGTTCGAGATAGAAATATTGAAAACTAGGATGGATTCAGTGCAATCGACAATTACTAGTGAGGACCAGCATACGCCAATAGTGGCAAATTTAACAAGTGAAATTACTCGGCTTCAGATCGACCTGGAAGAAGAAAAGTTTAAACGGTCTGTCCTTGAAACACAAGTTCAAAGACTCCAAGATGAGCTTAATACAATGAAATCATATCAAAAAGATGATGAGCTGAGTCAACGCAGCTCAGATGCAAGTGTGGTCGAAGTTGCAGCAGTCTATGCGGATCCTCAAGAGGACAGCATCACGCGTCGCCAATGATGGAACCTACTACAACCACCAAACAAAACCAACCAACTGGCTTTAAAGACCAAATAGAGGAATATAGACGAAAACAAAAACATAAAAGAAGTCTTGGCGGTCATTTTTCATCCGAGTTATCAGCTACTCGATATGATGGCCAAGTGGATCCCAAAAAGCTAAGAAAAATGCATTCACGGCAAAAAGCACCCATAGTAAAGCCAGTATCCCATGATAGAAACCAAAGTGTTTCCCTTGTTAAGAATTCTGCAGTCACACAGCAGGTTAATAGTGACACTCAGAAAAATCACCATACTCCTAGAAATAAAGATTCAGGCATACAACAGATTAATAGTAATACTCAGAAAAATCACCATACTATTAGAAATAAAGATCGCAAGAAATCCACCCCCTGCCCTTTTTTGGCCCGGCGTGGTCGGTGTGCTAAAGGAAATCGGTGCGACTTCTACCATTCCAATTCGCAGTACTGTGACAAATCCCGAGTATTTTGCCCCTTTTTGCAGAGGAAAGGTTATTGTCTGAAGGATGTCAGATGTGATTTTTTCCACCCTGTCCCTAACAACAAGTCCCTCACTACATTGGATGATCCTTTTTTCTATCGACGAACCTATCCACCCTACCAAGCCAAAATATACCCGTTTGGGTTACCCAACGCACAAAATCCACCCCTAAACATATGGAAGCCACTAAACGTCCCAAAAAAACCAACTTGATCAGAATTCCTTGCCTACCAATGAATCCCACTCCCAGACAAGTCGGTAATTCCATCGATTCGACAAACCAAAACAACACCCACTATGTCCCTGCTTTTCTCTTATCTAATGTAATGTCATTAGCCCCAAAAATTGATGAAGTACAAGATGTTGTCCGACGCGGAAACTACCAATTCATTAGCATAGTGGAGACTTGGCTACAGAGTCATATACACGACAATGTAGTCAATATCGAAGGATATAACCTCATCCGCAGAGACAGAATTAACGGCCAACACGGAGGCGTTTGTACTTATATTGAAAATACGATCGGTTTTGAGTTAATAGAAAACTTAACTAATGACTTGTTTGAGGTGTTATGGATCAAAATGCTGATGCCCAGACTGCCGAGAAGATTTAATAGCTTGGTCGTCGGGACCTTATACCACCCCCCAAGTGCTGACGACTCAGCAATGCTGGATTATTTATCCAACTGTCTCTCTACATTGGAATCATGCTATCCTAATTGTGGTTTTATTATTCTGGGCGACTTTAATCAGTTAAATATCAACCGATTAAAACTAAGCTATAACCTACGTCAACTTGTTAACTTTCCAACACGTGGCAGAAATACTCTTGATCTCGTCTTGACAAATCTTTACGAATACTACGATCAACCGGTAAAGTATGCACCATTCGGTCTCTCTGATCATATGTCTGTAGAATTTAAACCAAAAGAACGATGTCAACCCCAAAGAGCGCAGAAAAGAGTGGTGAAGAAAAGAGATCTACGTCCGAGCTCCCGTCTTGCATTCCGTAAATATTTGGAACTGTTGGACATTCCCAGCATGTTTGACAAAGCCCCTTCTTGCACAGAAAAAATCTCCCTCTTGGAAACCATTGTAACTACTGGTCTGGATTATATTCTCCCACTGCGCTCAACTACATCTCGGTGTAATGAACCTCCCTGGATGAACTCAAAATTATCATTATTAATTAAGAAACGCCAGAAAGCTCTTAACCAAGGAAATATTACCCAATTCAAGTACTTGAGAAATAAAGTAAACCGCAAAAGGAAAAGTTGTCGTGCGAAGCATTATGAAAATAGCATTCAACATCTTAAAGAATGTAAACCATCCTCTTGGTGGAATGAGGTTAAGAAGCTCAGTGGAGCAAAATCTACTAGCGGAAATAACGAAGAAATCCTTAAAGCCTTAAGACCTGATGAACACCTTACGGAAACAGATAAAGTAGATATTGCAAACGAGATAAATGATTCTTTTCTTTCCCCAATGGCTGAATTTACTCCTCTCACTCCAGAGAATTACCAAGATCTGTTATTTGGCGCAGCTAATGATTCTACTGTCACAATTGCTGCAGGAGACGTATTTAAAAAACTGTCAACGCTTAATCCAAGGAAAGCCCACGGCCCTGATGGAATACCAACATGGGTGTTAAAAGAGAATGCTGATTTATTGGAACTTCCAGTCAAAGAGATCCTAGATAGTTCTTACCGCGAATGCCGTATTCCACAATCTTGGAAAGAGGCCGACATTATTGCTATCCCTAAAAAGAAACCCATAACTGACATTAATAACAACCTACGTCCAATATCATTAACACCTATTTTATCAAAACTGGCCGAAGAATTCGTGGTTGAACAACACCTAAAACCCCAACCCAAAAACACCAAAAAAAAACACACACCTAAAACCTGCGGTATTAGCCACAATTGATAAAAGGCAATTCGGATCCATCCCGAATTCAAGCACTACGTATGCCCTTATCAGCATGTTGCATTTTTGGAATAAAAACACGGACGGAAATGGCTCTACAATCAGAATTATGCTTTTTTGACTTTCGTAAAGCTTTCGACATGATAGATCAATATCCTCGCACGAAAACTGTTAAAATACAACATCCCAAAACCTATATTGCATTGGATCTTAGACTTCCTCACTGATCGCAGTCAGAGAGTTAAACTTAGCGATGACTTTTTTTCCGAGTGGAAGGCTGTGCCAGCGGGTGTCCCCCAGGGGACAAAATTAGGCCCTTAATTGGCTTTTCTTAATCATGATGGACGACCTTGATGTTGCTGATAACAAGAACCTTTGGAAATACGTAGACGATTCAACTACGTCTGAAGTCATAAATAAAGATCAACCTAGTATAATGCAAGCGTATGTCAACGAATTCTCTTCAAAATCCAGAAGTGATGGTATGCAGTTAAAAGAGTCCAAATGCAAGGAACTTCGAATAAGTTTCTCAACTGTAAGAGAGAGTTTTGATCCTATTATTATCAACGACAAGAACATCGAAGTAGTCCAGTGTGAAAAACTACTCGGTTTAACCATCTCCGACAACCTCAAATGGAATAAACATATTGAGACTGTATGCAAGAAGATTTCAACTCGTCTATACTTCTTGCGACAATTGAAACGGGCAAAGTTACCATCCAAGGATCTTCTCTTGTTCTATGTTACTTGTATTCGGCCGGTTGCTGAATACGCGTGCGAAGTATTCCACGATTCCCTTACAAAATACCTGTCAGACGATCTCGAAAGATTACACGCCGAGCTTGCAGAATAATCCTCCCGAACATCGTACGAGGATGCACTTAATCAACTAGGTCTCTTGTCACTGTTCGATCGAAGACAAAATTTGACCGATAAACTTTTTCGGCAAATTGTTAATGATCCGCAAGACAAATTACACCATTTATTACCAGCATTAAATCTATCTGAGGCATCTCTGAGAGAAAGAAGAAATTTCAAGTTCCAAACTGTAGAACAATTAGATTTAAAAACGATTTTATCAATTTCAATTCTAGTAAATACGTATAATATATCTGAGACACTAAATAATGTAAATAGATAGTTTTACCAATTGAACCTCCACTTTTATGGATTTTAATAACATAGATCATACTTTTTGTAACACTTAAGGTTTTTCAGCCGGAGCCTATTGCCGAGGCTGCAAGTTTTAAGTCAATAAACCATCTATCTATCTCTATCTATTAGTCACACTCGTATGGTTTTCAGATTTTGACGCTTATATTACAATACTTTTTGTGTTATCAATATTTTGGTTATAAAACAGATTCCATGCACTTGATACTGATTTGCTTCAAAATTTGTTTCCTTTAGATATGAGGTGAAATGCACCGTATTTTGAGGAACGTACTGGTTGGAGCAGTGGAAAGATTGACAGAGGCCTGCAGGTGTTTCATAAGTCGAAAGAGTTTGAAGAACGCACAACTAACTTTAGAGGATGTCTTCGATGCTATGAAGGTGGTGAGAGCAAGACATCAAAGAAGCGTGTTGCAATTACAAACGTCATTGAATTCAAAGATGTAAGTTACAAAATCTGTTTAAATATTCTTTTTCGTGAAAGTGTGCGTGCGTGCATATATTGCAAGTGAGACACAATAACTGATATACTTCGTCAAGGAATTTCGCGCATTTGAGCGCTTTACGAGGTATTCCGAGCGCCGCCCGAGCAACCAACGAGTGTGAAATTCTTATTATTTTGATTTAAAATAACACAAACAGCATGGCTGCAGTATGCTAATCAGTTACTTTACTTAAGTAAATAATCGTATTCTAATCTTCGTCATTTAATTAATAAACAGGTTTAGAAGGAAAAGCAGAATATACAAGTAATGTCAAGTATAGTATGGTATATCAAGGAGGGGTATGAATTTTTTTATTGATTATTTGGAGGGGCATCAAGCAATATCTTGAATCAGAGGAAGGGGTACAAAACTTTTCGAAAATTTGGAAATTAGCCTTCGCCCCCCCATGACACATACTTAATGACCGCTCCCTAAGGATTAAAGCACTCTGTGAGTGCATTATCGGGTTTTACATGCACGAGTTCACAAACAAGGAACGAGAAGTTCAATACTGCACGAGGCGAAGCCGAGTGCAGTATTGAACTTCGAGTTCCTTGTTTGTGAATGAGCGCATGTAAAACCCGATAATACACAAACAAAGAGTGCTTTAATGCTTTTAATATTCATTTTGAGTAAACTCGTAAAGACTTTTATTTTTTTAAAACTTAAATAAACAACACACGCTTACCTTTAAATACTAAAATACCCTAACCGGTTGCCCGTTTAGTATTTTTCGGTGTGGATTCATCTATAATTACATTAATTTCTTCTTAACTAAGTTCGGCAATTTTTTGTTTGTTGCCGCCATTTTGATCGTGCAATAAATCCTATAACGGCATTGCCGTGGCGTTGTTGCTATATAAAATTCACTCACGTGGTACAAATCGACCAATCAGAACGTAAGTTTACAAAAAATGAATATTAATATTTATTATCCCACAAAAATGCAACATGCTTTGTCCTTCTTTGCTCTAGTTGAAAATATCGATACGTGCTCAAGAAAAAGCAAGAGTACGTTAAGCGAAGATTTAGTTTCTGTGTATTCATTTTGTTAGTTGTGGCTTTTAAACTTTTAAATGCCTTAATTTTCCCGCGCTTCTAAGAGAAAATTTTCTTGCAGTTGATAAGAGAAAGTTTCTTATTAAAAGGCTTTTAAGCGACCACGGGATTGAAGATGACGAGGAAAATAAAGACAGTGAAGAATATGACGATGATGATAATTAGACTTTAAATTTAATCCAATGGCAAAGGTTTACCGAACATTTCTTAAGGAAACCATGGCAAACGAGCAAAAAAATAATAAAGCGTTTTAAGGGAAATTATTATCTATTGCTGTAACCAATTGCAAAACAAATAAATGTATCATAAACCCATGTCTGAAATTTTCTTCTTTCCGGTCGCTAGTTCATATGTACATTAATTTTTCATTTTATCAACAAAAATTTCAAGTGGGTATGAAATATCTCATTAAGGAGATGAGCATCCGCTCATGAGCAGTTACGAGCAGGTACTCATCTGCTCATTGCACAAAATTTGTAACCGATATTCCACTTCATATTCCATGCAAGTACACTTTGAGTAACTCGATAATATGAAAATTGATGTATGGAAATGATTCGTGTATCAATGACATTTTGACATATAATATGAGGACGATAAAATCAAAGTTAACGTGTGAACTGAACTGTATCACAAAGCATACATAGAAAACGAATCTTTAAAATGAACATTAGTCTAATGGTAATATTGACATACAAATGTGTAACCCTAGTAAAATAAAATATATTATTATATGACTAGTGTTTGTTTTTGTAAATCTTGCAATTTGATTGGCTGCTGACGAAGCGGGATTTTCCCATATTGCCCACGGGCAATACGCTCAATTTTTATTGCCCTCGGGAAAAACAACAGCAATTCGAAATGAATTGAAAAATTAAACGAGACTTACCTGTAAGTCGAAGTTTGATTGTGATTCTGCCGAATCACCCACAGCGCTTAGGGATTACGTGAGAAGCATAGCGACCTCGCGACATTAATCAGACTTTAACGAAGAGATTGCGTGTATTGCAAACCACCAAACCATCGGGTGGGAGAAATATCCTAAGAGGAGGGCACGTAATCCCTAAGCGCTCTGGGTGATTCGGCAGAATCACAATCAAACTTCGACTTACAGGTAAGTCTCGTTTAATTTTTCAATTCTACCTCATCACCCGCTGCGCTTAGTGATCACGTGAGACTTTAAAGCATGCAAACACGCAATCTCGGTATATGAAAGTACAAGCTCTCGAAAAAATAACGCGAACGTTACGATAATGAAAATCACATTTGTTACATCAAGTTGACAAAATAGTATCGGCATAGCCTGAAGTTGGCTTAATTGGCTTGTTATAAAATTTGGCAAAAGTACAATCGGACCTCCAGCCCGCTACGTTAAGAATCTCACTAATTGGCTGTTCCGCCTTGTTGCAGCAGACGTTGATGCTGCTCGAGTGCTATGAGGTTTAAAAA